AATATGTTTATTGATTAGCATAACAGTTACAAATATAGATGTTAAATTTAAATGTTAAAATTGTATTGTTAGACATATAGATAAAACTAAAAGGGTCTCCACGGAAACTTTATCAGCACAAAAAAGAGTGAGCTAGTTCTGTCAGTGCCACAGCAAACTATGACTTTCGATTACAATTTGATCAATAAAAAAAAAAGTTTTTGCGTTTTCACTTTTATACTTTCATTCGCTTTTAAAATAAAATATATGAATCCAAGTTGGAAGTTTAAAGGTTGATGAATAACACGATTTAATTTAAAATGGATGAAACTGAAAACAATCGCCCTGGTTAGTCCTTTCCATGCCTGATGGAGTATTAATAAAAAAAAAACGGTGCCTAAGTGGTAAGGTTCGAGTTTATTGACACATTTGAGGGGGTTGGGAGAATTAATGTAAACATTGTCATTCATTTTCACAGAGTTATTTAAGAGTTTTTAAATTTTTTTAAAGGTTTAACAAAACTCTGCGAATATTTACAAACAGCAATAATGCTTATCTTAATAATAATAATAATAATAACGTTTATTGCTAAATATCTTTTAAATTTACAAAATTGTCAGAAAATAAAAAAACATGTATATGTAAATGTACAATATTGTTACAAATAATATTTTCTTCTATTTAGTATAGCAAAAGGATATAGCTAGCATAGCTGTTTGAATGCTATATCTTGAAATAATACACATGACGGTGTGAGACTATACAACTAGTAAGGAGAAACCCAGATCAGGAGTTGGGGGGGATCAGAGACCAGGGGTTAAAGAACAACACCCACCTTCTAAAACGAATCAACGTGTTAAATTTACCGGTTCTTATATAATTAGTTTTTCCTTTTTTTCACTTACTAATACTGCAAAGTTTAATAAAAGCAACCTTTTACAGAAGAGACAGTTTTGATATGTTTAAAGTTTTATTAAAATTTTTATTAGGATTTTAAAATTTTAACCATAAAGATTAACAGCTCTCGTTCTTGGTTAAAGAAACTAATGAAGTAAAGTATAAAGCCACAACATTATTTTTAAAGTTTGAAATACCTTTACACATCTCGTCTTATCTATACAGGCTTTAGCTCATTCCAAGAATTGAACTAGTGTTGTGAATCTCGGGTTCAAGCATTGTTCTTCATCTGACGCAGATCTGAGGAATAATTGAATACCATCGAGATATCACAAAATAGTCAGTACCAGCAGGGAAAGCTATAAGTGAGGGAATCCTCAAATTCTAAAGTGCCTTAATTGGATATCGAGATAGTTAGGTGTTTAAGATTAACATTATCCACAAACCTTTTTACTCTCCAAAATGTGATCTGCCCGCTTATTACCTTGGAACCTTGCCGCTTTAATTCCGACACTTTTAAAAATTTTAAAAATAAATTAAAATATTAATTTAAAATTTAGATTTAAATCATTTTGTGGTTTTCATTATTATTTTAAATTTTGTGGCGGCATTTTGATCGAATTTTCCTTGGATTAGAGTCCAGTAAGGTGAACTGTAGTAGAGTTTCACATAATGTGCAAAGGGGCGCAGACCTAGATACCGAACTTAGATAAAAAAGATGAAATTGACAAGATTTCTTGAAAACCCCAGGGGGTTTAGGGGTTTCTTGTCATCGGTTGGAAAACTGGGAGGGGGGAAGGGGATATGCCAATTGTGTTTCTGATAAAATACAAAAACGGAAAGATAAGGATGGGAAAAAATCAATCAAATCCTCAAAAGAATTATTTTAGAGATTTTATCTCTAAGTTTGTTTTATATTTAGTGACACCTATCCTATACACACACTCAGGGCTTATCCTAGAAACTACAACAAAAACCAGACATTTTTTTAATTACACCCTTTTTCAGAACATGTCAAAAGGAGAAAAATGTTTATTTTCCAAAATTTGAAGCAACAAGCCCAGCACTTTAACGTATAATTGAACCCAGAATATGATTTTAATATAACTCAACGTGTGTACTAACATCAACAAAAAATCTTCTCAAATTAAAACAAAAATGTTCATGTGGCCTAATAACGTGAAACATTCAAATCTTTTTGCAGGGTATATTTTTTCTTAAAAAAATTCCTTTTTCCCCCAGACAGTTAGAACACATGTATCCGGCCAGCCTATATTTTTGCATAAAGCGCGCTGGGTCTATACTTCACACTGGGTGAACTAGACGGGCAGGTACGAGTAAATGTGTATGCAGTAAAATTACCGGTAAATCCTTGTCCAGGTTTGGATCATGCAACGATGGAACCCAAGTGAGGATTGTTTAAAATAAGTTTAATGTTTTATTCGCTCCTTTTCAAACTATACATAACCCTCACGGGCAGCCGTAGTACATTTGAATTTCCTAGCCGGGTCAACCTTTCCGGTCCCAGTTTGTACTGTATCGCCCGGACATTGGGTGAATGAAGCAGACACTCAATGGGACTAACCGGTGTAACAAGGTTGACGCGGTCAGACTTTAGGTTGAATTTACTTTTACTAAAGGGTCAGAGGTGCGTGCCCTAGTTGTCTTTCTATAAATAAAACAAGACATTCATATATATGTTGACTATAGCCAGGCAAACGGCTGAACCGAATGGGCTGACATTTTTCGTAGACACTCATATGTGGCCAGGGGGTTTTGTAGGCAACCAAAAAAATAATTAAAGAAAATAATTTGTTTAAATTTTTTTATTTATAAATGAATAATGTATAATTCATTACAAACTCAAATGTTATAATCCATATATGTTTGCAACCCAATTTGAATGCTGTTAGATGAAATAATCTAAGTTTGAAATTTGAAAGGTTTACACCATTAGGCTTTAAATATATAGGAATTATAAAATTTAAGTTTGTTGCAAATACTCAAATCCTTTAAAACAAATATCGGCCTGATCACAAGGCACTATATAAGGCAGATGAAGGAAAATCATAATTCTCAGAAACCAGGAAGTGTAAAGAACTTGTTAAAAAAGGATTGTTTTGCAATAAATTTCCCCGAAATCTAGACAAATTATTGAACTTCATTCAACACAGCACAAATGTGGTTTCAACGGTTGATATTTTACTTGGAAACAAATCATAATTATTTATAGAAAGCATTAGATTGAAGTAATTTGATGAGGAAGTGTATAGGGGAGAAGGAGGATGATGAGCTCATCAATTTTTAATACAGGATTGACTTTGAAGTGTCGCAACACCTTGGGCTTAGATTTTACAGCCCTAACTTACTTATGCTTTTCTGTAGCCTTTTACATGTACATTTCAGCACTATAAAGCCCTTTTTGTTAGCATTGGTTTTTAAGAAGTAATTGGCAAAAATTTTCTTGATCGATTTTTTCTTGAGAGCGTGGGACCTCTAATTCACAGTGGGAGAAGAGGAGCAGAAAAGAGGGAGGAGAGGGGAGAAGAGAAGGGAGGGGGGGGGGTATAAGAGAAGGGGGGGTAATGAAGAAAATTGAGGAAGGGTTGGGATAGGGTAAAGAGAAATTTGGGAAGGATAGTAGGGGATGGTTAAGAGAGTTGGGAAAGATAGTAAAGGGATGGGAAAGAGAGTTGGGAAGGAGAGTAAAGGGATGGTTAAGAGAGTTGGGAAGGATAGTAAAGGGATGGTTAAGAGAGTTGGGAAGGATAGTTAAGGAAAGGTTAAGAGAGATGGGAAGAAGAGTAAAGGGAAGGCTAAGATAGATGGGAAGGATAGTAAAGGGAAGGTTAAGAGAGATGGGAAGGATAGTAAAGGGAAGGTTAAGAGAGTTGGGAAGGATAGTAAAGGGAAGGTTAAGAGAGTTGGAAAGGCTAGTAAAGGGGATGGTTAAGAGAGTTGGGAAGGATAGTAAAGGGATGGTTAAGAGAGTTGGGAAGGATAGTAAAGAGAAGGTTAAGAGAGTTGGGAAGGATAGTAAAGGGATGGTTAAGAGAGTTGGGAAGGATAGTAAAGGGAAGGTTATGATAAAACTTTCAGTTATATAATAAAATTAGGCTAAATATGTAAGGATAGGACTGATCAGGATCCCATTCATACCTAAATTATTTGACACCTTCTCTTCATAAAGTTGAATACGCTTAGTTTAAACTTGGATACTGGTTTAGAGTAGCAATTACTTCAATACGGGGGATGGAAACTTGTATAGAGAATCCAGGCACAAAACCAAATTCAGAATTGCTTAATAGTACTTGAGTATTCGCGGGGAAACTTAAAAAAGAATCAAGCCACGAAACCAAGTTTAAAACCCTATTTGAAGTCTGGATTCTGGTTTAGAGTGGCTAGAATACTAGAGACGGAAACTTTTAAGGGAAACGAGAAAAGAAACCAATTCTTTTATTAATGGGGTCTGTAACTTTATAAAAATCTTTACTTAGGAAAGTTAATCGAGCTGCGGAAAAAGGAGTAATATTTTTAGATATTTATATCTAAAACATTTTTATGAAACTATGGTGTCATGATACCATTGTGTCTAAATTTTAAGCCCAGGGGATAGTATATAAATTTATATAATATACACATATCTTAATAAACAATAGAAAATGTACAACCTAAATTTAAGAATATATAAATATTTGTTTTTAATATTCGTGAAAGAAACAATCTCAAGATCTGACAAGGGTCAACCTAGACCGAAATAAATTTTCAATAAATGTGGAACTAACATCTACTCTTTTACTCTACAGAGGTTTGGTCCATCACCATCACCGAATTTTAAATTTATAGGCCATAGAGAATACCAATAAATAGGCCATAGAGAATACCAATAAATAGCAATGAGGGTGCATACTAGAATGGATACAGGGTGCTCAACATTACATGAACCCTGAAAAAAGAAATTTTTAAACATATCCTTCTGACTTTTGAATGATGTATTCGGTTACCTAATCATATATCTATAATAAAGCCTTCATATTCATTTATTTATTCAACTAGCTATTCATCTATATATCTATCTATCTATCTATCTATCTATCTATCTATCTATCTGTGCATTTCTCACCTAATTTTCAATTAGGTCTTCACGCCAAATGCCGGACGCAGGCTCAGTCATCATACCCATTTCTCACGCGCTTGTTTCTGTAAATATCCACAGTTCATTTATACTCTAGGAACGAGGAAAGCACGTCTTGCGGTGGAAACTGAAAAAATAAATCACAATATTAATCAGCTCCATATAATTTAACAATTTTAAAGCAAAACCATCAACTAATCATTATTTTACAATCAATCAATCACACGAATATGTTAAAAAGAGTGCTTACATTTGGTGCATCGACTGAGTGCGTGGAGCACCGTCCACGAAGGTATATTTCTTGACGAGACTGTTTATTTAACCAGATCCCCTTATCTCCAAAGGTTTACTCCTTAAATAGTTTGTATTAGATTTAAATTCACTTTAAATCATCGTTTAACACACCTGTTATCGTTCTGGTCAGAGCTCACTAGACCAGGAGGGTATCTGTTTCCTGGTTTGAGAATATCTGGCTCTCACCCCAGGTTCAGCATACTCCTCTTCAGCTCCAACTCACTATCAACACTCTCCTTCAAGTCCTGAACACGTTAGAGTAGATAATGGTCAAGCTTGCGAGTACTATGTACAGCAACGGTACAGCAGTACGTGAGATATAACACACCTGTAAATAACTCATGGCTGCAATAACAGGACAGCTTCATGTTTACAGGTCCAGAGAGTACAGCGTCTCCTTCTTATCCAGGTCAAACCTATCTATCTATCTATCTATCTATCTATCTATCTATCTATCTATCTATCTATCTATCTATCTATCTATCTATCTATCTATCTATCTATCTAGCTATTTATCTATCTATCAATCTATCTATCTATCTATCTATCAATTTATCAATCTATCTATCTATCAATTCATTAGCTAGGAATTTCTGTAAAGTTTTCTCTTGTGTTCATCCCCCTTTAATGTAAGTTTAAATATCATCTTCTTGTTTTTATTCCGACAAAGATGAAGCTTGCCGCTAATTTACTAAACATTTCTAACACCTAGCTTGTTCTTCTCCAAATATTTCAAATCATAGACAAATTGTTAAACAGAGGGAGCTCTAAAAAATGGCCGTCAAAATTTGTTCAGTATTATCTATATATGTATATACACAGTTTTAGGCTTTTAGGGCGATTTGAGCCCGGCCATCTTCTATTTTAATTATGAAAATTTTCTCTTTGTGTACATCGTAAAATAAAATAAGAAACGACAATTTTTGCGGATTTTATAATTAAAATCTCGTGGATTTTCAAAATTTTCAAAAATCGAATTTTTGTTACAGGAAAACTTTTTTTGAAAATTTTTTTGAAAATTCGATCATCCATAAACTTTAGTCAGGTGAGGTCCCACAACATATTGTGCCCGATCGGTTAGGTGGTTTTGACGTTTATTGGATACAAACAAATAAACATCAAGACAGACAAGCAAAGTATAAACATCTTTGTGCGTTATGATGTTTGGAAATTTTTAAACTTTTACAGTTCCCTGTAACAACTCAAACTTGTTTTTTTCTCTGTCAAATTATTGTTTGTATTTAACTAAAAGGACTTTTCTGAAGATGGGAGACCACATTTTATATTTAATTTTAATCATTTAAAGATTCCATCCTCTGTTAAATACTTTGTCTATTGCTAGAAAAATCGCAACTTTCAAATCATTTAAGTCTATTTATGCAGCTAGGCGTAGAGACAAAAAATTCTTTTCTTCAAGACTCACCGTTTCAGAAAATGTAAATTTTCCACAATTTTAAGAAGGTTTGACCCCCCCCCCCTTCTCACTCCTTTCCCGCCTTTGACAGGACATCCAGGGGGGTGGGGTGGAGAAGTGATAACCTTCCGACCTTTTTATACCAAAAAATTTCCAAAATGTCAGAACTGACATTTCGGGTTTCGCATGAACTTCGCTGAAGCGCAAGAAAAAAGAAAATATAGATCAAATTTTTTCAAGAAGAAAAATGGGAGGGGGGTGGAATTAATCTTCAAAGTAAGGGGGAGGTTGAGGGCAAGGGGATAGGGGTAGAAAAACACGTTTTGCGATAGAAAAACACGTTTTAAGAAAGAAAAACACGCTTTGAGATAGAAAAACACGTTTTGAGATAGATAAATACGTTTTGAGATAGAAAAACACTTTTTGAGAGAGAAAAACACGTTTTGCGATGGAAAAACACGTTTTGAGATAGAAAAACACGTTTTGAGATAGAAAAACACGTTTTGAGATAGATAAATACGTTTTGAGATAGAAAAACACTTGTTGAGAGAGAAAAACACGTTTTGCGATAGAAAAACACGTTTTGAGATAGAAAAACACGTTTTGAGATAGATAAATACGTTTTGAGATAGAAAAACACTTTTTGAGAGAGAAAAACACGTTTTGCGATAGAAAAACACGTTTTGAGATTGAAAAACACGTTTTGAGATAGATAAATACGTTTTGAGATAGAAAAACACGTTTTGAGATAGATAATTACGTTTTGAGAGAGAAAAACACGTTTTGCGATAGAAAAACACGTTTTGAGATAGATAAATACGTTTTCAGAGAGAAAAAGACGTTTTGAGATGGAAAAGCACGTTTTGAGATAGATAAATACGTTTTGAGATAGATAAATACGTTTTGAGAGAGAAAAACACGTTTTGCGATAGAAAAGCACGTTTTGAGATAGAAAAGGACGTTTTGAGATAGAAAAACACGTTTTGAGATAGAAAAACACGTTTTGAGATAGAAAAACACGTTTTGAGATAGAAAAACGACGATATCTTTCCCATTGTTACTCAAGTAAAGGGTACATTTAAGAATCGGAAATGGTAATCTTCAAATGTAGGGTCTCTTGAAATAGCGTTAACTGTCCCTTTAGTTCTTGGCGTAAATAAATGAATGAGGAATGAATGAATACATGAATGAATAAATGAATGAGAAATGAATGAATTAATGAATTAGAAATGAATGAAAGGATGAATGAGAAATGAATGAATAAATGAATGAATAAATGAATGAGGAAGGTTAACTTGAAGGAAATGAGAATGAGAATGAAAACTAAAATTGTATGAGTGTGCTACACTAAAATGAGTGTAAATGTCAAACTGGAATGTATTAGCAAAACATAGCCGCCCCCCCACACCCTCACCCCATGTCAAGCAACACTCCCCCCCCGTTACCCTTCTCTCTACATGCATAGCCCCCATCCTTACCCTTCTCTTCACATACATAGCCCCCATCCTTACCCTTCTCTTTACATACATAGCCCTATCATTAGCCCTCTCTTTACATACATAGCCCTATCCTTAGCCTTCTCTTTACATACATAGCCTCTTTTTCTCCATCCCCTTTCATTTCTCTTTCCCCTTCTTTAAGTTTCATATTCTACATTTTCCCGGATCCCATATCCTATTTTTTCAGTGGCAAATTTCCAACATTTACAATTTTTCAAGAGCATCAGCGCTCGGTCCCCTAACGATACCAAACTTATAAAACATGAAGGCATCTTTCCCTTTTAGCCTAAATGCATTTTTGGGCAAAGGTCCTTTGGGAAATATAATATATTGGAAACAGTCTTTTTTTTTGTGGTGGGGGATTCGGTTAAGTTGGAAGGGGGGGGGGGTAAAGTTGTCAAGAAATAGCTATTCATATGTTTTATAATTTAGCTATTACATAAAAACTTCTAAATTGAAATAAAAAGCTTAAGTTTTCGATTCTCACTATACAAATTTGTTGAGATGAAAAAATAATTCATCTAATATCTGACGTCAAAATATGATATATTTCACTTAATCCTGATATAGTTTTGTATCACCGCGTAATTTATGTTAAATATAAATTGTTTATCGATTCCAATATTGATCACTATATATTCCTTATATATTGATAGATTATATATTTACTCCTAATATTTAGATAATTAAATTTTATAGTTAAAAAATATTAAAATTTTTGAACATTTGATTAATAATAATCTTCAAGATACTTTTCGTACATAAATATCAAAGAAATTATTCAATCCAAAGTTAAAGCCTTCACAATTTTGGTGTCTCATTTTTTTGGATAACATTTTTGTACTTTTTAAAATTCAGTTCTCTCACACTCATATTTGGTAGCTATATTTTGAGGTTATTTAGAGTAATTATACATATAGCAAACAGAAAATCCACCGGAAACGCACCTGTACTGTTTGGTTTGGTTTGGTTTGTTCCATAAATCTACGAAATGTCAGCTGATTAGACTGGAAAGGGGGCGTGTAATGAGTAGAGGAGATAGAACGAAGATTTATTACTCTTCTCGTATTCAATTCACAGAAGGTATTCAAGGATTCATTGAAATACATTCCGTACAATCGATACAGCCAGATATTAACATACAAGAGCGCCCATTTTCATAGAATCCGAACTCTAAATTTAGAGAAAAAATTCTATTTCTATTTCTATTCTATTCTGATGGTTCAGTTAACATACTGTGACCACATTTATGATGAAAAGGGAGAAGTAGTTGAACCTCTTCTCTTAAACCTCTTCAACTTAGTCATACGTAGTTGAACTACTCTGAGCTAAATTTTCATTCAAGGAAATGAGTCTCTGCCACAAACTCCAATTTTCTATTTCCTTTATTTTTCCCTTTTCTTTGAATATTTACAATTAATAGGAAAAATTCCCACCACTTCTATTTTTGGAGGTTCTTAAACACTTAATTTGTACTTTTTTTGTTATATGTTATTTGCAACCTGATAGTGTTTATATTTGACATTAACACATAGATTATTTGATCTAACAGAGTTTGTGACAATCAATTCTTTAGTTCCTCATCAGTGATTATTCTAAATATCTAAAAAAATACAGGATAAAAAGTTTTTTAAAAAAAGGGGAAGGTTAATCAATCGGGATTTCGTTTGAATCACCCTGTATATTTACATAGGCTTAGGTTTTATATTATTTTCTTGAAGCCATGGAATTTAAGCAGTGTTTTACGCTGGTATTTTGACACTCTGCGCGGCATGTGGCAAACCCGGTGAATTTTACCAAATTCGTCAAATTCAAGCTTGATGCTTGGAATTCAATAAAGAAAGCGGGATAAGAGCATGAAAATGGGTTTATTGAATTTATATTATAAGAAAGCCATGTTATGGTAGTGGTGGGGGGAGTTTAAATAAGAAATATAATACACTGGTGCAACAGTTGTCAAGTAGGAATTGCTTCAGGGTTTATAGGATTTGACTTCAGGTTACTTTCGACAGTTTTTGGATAATCGCCCCTTAATACATATTATAAGCTGTAGAAAACGAAAACTTTTTGTTTAAAACTATTTGGAAAAGAAAAGAAAGAAAAACGGGAAATTTTCAAGAGAATGGGAAACTACGGGAAATTATAAAATAAATAATTTAAAGGGTCTTGACGAAATGACCCGAAATGACCCTCCATGAAGAGATTGCAATGTCTGATACACAACGAGAACCCTTAAAATCTTAGTTTTTTAAAAAATAAGGAGACAAATAGAGCTGAATGACAAAAGTAAACAATTTTGGCATAGGAAAACGACAATATCCTCTACAATTTAGATTAGACAAACTATGTACGGACACTGTTATGAATCGGGCATAACATTCTATGTATGGAGGGTGACTATACATGTATTGTTCCTATATGGTAAAATACTATGTTAAGTTTGTATATGTATTCTGTATTCTTCTGATAATACATGGGAGGGTTCTAAAGTATCCTGTATTCCT